ATGCGGTATGATGTATCAAAAGTTTTCACAATCAGGCACATAGTTTTAATTACATTATTTTTAAATTTTTTTTTAAACATAGAAATGGATGATGGAATACATGAAGGAAGTGAATATGAATCAGAAAGAGAAGGTACAAATTTGCCGCCGTACGAAGACAGTGAATCTCAACCAGGAGATGAAGGTTCAAATCTACCACAGTCTAGTGATAATCCAAATAGAGAATCAGAAAGAGAAGGTACACATTTCCCGCCGTACGAAAACAGTGAATCCGAAGACGAAAGTTCAAATTTACCACAGTCTAGTGATAATACAAATGGAGATTCAACGGCAACGAATAGCATTTTTACTATTACCTTTCGGATATTAAATTTAAATGGAGAGCAAGTGATGCCCACTGAAGGATTGAATGATCCCAATTCAGAAATATTTCTGGAATATTCAGGAATACTCACAGAAATGGTAAGACATTACAGAATAGATATCCCCAGTGATATCTTACAGAATTGGAAATAAATGCATAGTGCTATAATGCTAATATTATTTAAAATGTATTTGTTCTTTTAGCTATACGAAATTTACACAGGAATACCAAGTTTCATTAACGGTCAAATCAACGGGTTCATAGATGAAGGCGTTACAGTGAACGGATATCTTGAATTTTATCCACATGAACAGATTTCGTCGAGTGAATTGGAAAACGTGTTTAAAGAATCAGGAGATGGCGATGGTTTTATACAAACTACATCCGGCTCCCTGGTCTATATGCCAAATAGTCTTGTTGTCAATGGTAAGAAAACGAATGGTAATCATGCGGTATGATGTATCAAAAGTTTTTACAATCTGGCACATAGGTTTAATTACATTATTTTTAAAATTTTTTTTTAAACATAGAAATGGATGATGGAATACATGAAGGAAGTGAATATGAATCAGAAAGAGAAGGTACAAATTTGCCGCCGTACGAAGACAGTGAATCTCAACCAGGAGATGAAGGTTCAAATTTACCACAGTCTAGTGATAATCCAAATAGAGAATCAGAAAGAGAAGGTACACATTTCCCGCCGTAC